CCCAGGCCTTTGTCACTGGGGCGGTGTTTAATTGCCCACTTAATGCAATAGTGTAGAAAGTCTGTGAATGCGAACACTCTGGTGTGATTCCTTTTAATGAAAACAAGGAAAGATGCGAGGGGATCCGAGGATCCGGAAGCTTCGCGGTTATCATGGCAGCTCGAGAGACGTTTCCAAGTTGCGTTTGATCGTACCCGCAAATCGAGAGGTAGGTCAAATTGCCTGGATGGTTTAGAAGAAGAAAAGACGTTGCCCGGGCCCTGTCTGACCAGACGAGGGCCATGGGGACCGGGAGCGACGGTCCCCCGAGAACAAGAGAGCTGGGAGGACTCCGGCGCCCTCCGGAACCGCCCTTTCGTCGACTCGGTCCGCCGCAGAGCCCTCCGCGGGGAGCGCAGGGCGCAGAGCGCGCGCGCGCGCGGGGACTACGGAGATAGCTGGGAGCTCTACGACGCGAGAAAGCCTCGGGAAGAGGCGGGCTGGGGCCGCTCGGGGAGAAGCCGCGGCCTGACCTGTGGGCCGGCCGGGAGCAGGGAAAGCGGCGCGGCGGGAGCGCGGGGGAGACTGGGCGCTGCGGAGCGGGGGCGCTGGCGAGCGCTCTGCTGGGAAGAGCGCGCCGTCGGGCTTACTGGAAACCCGCCGGATCAGGTTCCAGATCAATGAGATCTGGGTCCACACGTTTACGTTATTGTTGCCAGCATTAATGCTCTTTTAATCTTCTAAACATTATCAGCATCGATCTCCCTCCATATACACATTTGTTTGAGAAAGTGACATAACCACACGGTGGAAAGCCTGGAATAAAATGCACAGCCGCTCGCGTCGAGGGCGCCCAGCGGCCTGGACTGCTTCTCGCGCTCGGCTTCACTACCCTTCCTTGCGTTCTGTCTTCTCCGCCCGCTCCCGCTCACCCTGACGCGTGTTAGGAGGGTGTTCTCCAGGCACCCGGGACTTGACTAAACAAGGACAGTAGCGAGCTTTTCGGTTATTAATCCGACCAGCCAGCAGGCGAAAGTATCTTGTGCTCGGTACGGATGCAGGTTTGTGTTCGGTCTCTCGGGGCTCGGATCCCGCACTAAACTGCGGGGAGAGAGGGCCTGAGCTGGGCCGGGAGCCGGACCAGCAGGAGGGACGGTGGGGTTCCGACAATGAGGTCCCTGCCTCTCCACTTAGAAGAGGCCAGTCGGCCGGCATAGCCCACGACTTTCCTGGCGCCGAAGGAGAGACGACGGCCCGTGGTGCCCCTGGCAGGAGCCGCTGCGCACTGTCCCCGCAGGCTCTGCCGCCGCTGGCCCAGGCAACGTCTTGGCAGGTTGGTGAAAGGCCATCAGCTGTCTGAACAGAGTTGCCTCCAGACTGGCCTCTGGGAGTTGCTGTCTGAAGAGGACCCTGTGTCTGTCCACCGCCGGGACATGTGGCAGGTTCCGAGCAGGCCTCCCCCGCCCTCCCCGGAGCCCGGGTCTTGGGAGGCGCAAACCTTGGCAGGTCGTACCGTCAGAGGCTTGCTGTAGCTGCGGGGCTTTGGAGGTAACCACTCCCGCCACGGAGGCCCTGATTTTCCTCCGTGAGCCGCCAGTCCCAGGTTTTGCCTGGGTTTTTCAGTCCCTCCTTCTTCGTGTCTGTGCTTCGTTCAGAGGCTTCTTGGGCTCTAAGTCAGGAGTGTTAGTGTTCAAACCCGCGGGAGTTTGTCCGAGCCGCTTCGTGCGGGGCGGAATACAAACTGCCCCCAGAGCGTGTCCTGAGAACTGCCGAGGGCACGGCTGTAACCCCTCGCGGCCTTGGCCACCCTTTCCCAACGAAATTGTGCTCTTGGAGTCCGTTTCTCTGAAATCTAGTGCTGGGGCAATCTGAGTTTCCACAGGGTCTTGTCCCTTTGAAATGCCACCCTGAGCTGGGGACCCACCAATGGGCCCAAAGGAGACGTGGGGGAGGCAGGTGGGAGAGGAGAGGAAGGACCTGCTTCTGTGGATCCGAGTTTGCTTCGCCTAAGGGTGAGGTCTGCAACATCTGGTCCAAATCAGACGTCCTGATTCCGAGGTCCCTCCAACTCCGGCCTGCTTGAGCCTCTGGCAAGACCCAGAGGGGGCCAAAATGAGAAAGAGAAAGGGAAACTAAAAGGAGAGGAAGGGAGAGAAAAGAGGCCTGGTTGGGGCAAGCTGGAGGTGTCCAGGCTGCTCTTGGAGGCTTGAGCCTGGCAGGCAGGACCAGGTGCCCTGTGGAGCCGTGGGCTTGTTTAAGCCCCAGAGCCCTGCCTCGTGGGCCCTCAGCGGTGTCCCTGCGGGGATTCCAATCGATACTCCTGGCGGGGAAGGCCTCTGCTTTTCTTCTCCATTTGCTCCTGTCTCCTAGCACTCCTGAGCACATAATACCTACTTACCAGTCCTAGCTTCTGTGTCAGCGTCTGAAGAGACTGATCTACTGACCCCATACTGAAAAGCCTCCTATGTAATAATAACCACTCAACACACTTGTAGTTGCTGATAAAATGGCCAGATAAAAAGGCTAAAGCCCTTGTCCCTTTTCAACTCGGGGTAATAAAACAGACACACATTTGAATGCTTGAGCAAAGCGGGGTCCTCAGCACGAATTTCCCACTCGCTGAAGGAGGCTTTCAATTTCCTGTGGAGGTGGCTTCAGCACTTCTCCTTGGAAGAGCCTCTGTGCTTCCCAGGGCCAGCCTCTGAGGAGTGTCCCCAACCCCGACTTTCCTGGGATGGGTGGTGGGACCGGGGACCCCCACATATGCCACACTTTCTCTTATCCCAGCAATGCTTGGGGCTAAGGTGGGCTAACAGGTCGATCATTACTTGCCATGTCACTTTCAGACACACATAGGCACAAGGCACACGATCTATTTCTTTCTTTCTAGCTCTGTCCTTTGCAGGACAGGCATGAGGGGGCGGCAGCGTTCTGAGATGATCTGGAATGGAAAAGCTGTCATCCTGCCTTTAACTGTACCCTCCACTCCAGTTGCCAAGTTTCTTCTGGCTGCCTGTGCCAGGGAAGCCAGCCGCTGCTGGAGCTCACCTGAGAGGCACTCGTGGAGTTTTGGGGGGCCAAGACAAAGGAGTACCGCACTGTTCAGAAGTGTCAGCAAGCCTCCAGTTTATTTCTGGCAACACCGCTGCCCTCTATTCACTGCTTAATCTTTTCTAGGAACCAGGGGCAAATAAAAAAAACCACGGGAATTATGGTAGAGAACGAAGAGTAAACTAAAGGAGAAAGATTACTAAAAGCACACAAAAGTATTAGGAACCCACAGATTTGGGGAAGCTTTTGGGGGGATAGTTTTACCTTTTCAGATCAATACCGAGGGGGCGATTACTGCTTGGGGATCGGAATTCTCCAACATCGGGGAAAGGCGGAGGCTGTCAGAGTGGAAACGCCCCCTCCCCAAGCCTGGGTGAACACGCCCCCAGCCCCGTCCCGCGTCGGTAGAGTGTACCCCGTAAGCCAGGCTCGGTGGTGCGAGGAAAGCCCCAGGGAGCGGGAGAGGAAGCCTGAGCTCGCCGCTCCGGAAGCGCGTTGTGTGTAGCTGGCTCGGACCATGCCGGCCGCACACAACGCACATCCCACTTTCCGCACCAATGTAAATCACTGCTACTAAGAATTGTCCCCTCGGTGGCTCACGGATCCGGAGAGATGGCCCCAGTCGAAGAGAAACTGCCCATACAGGCTTGCAGTAGGATACTGTGTATCCTCCCCAGTGGGGCGCCTGGACCCTTTGCTCCTCTGGACCCATGGCTAAGTCCTGGAGGCAGCGCAACTGCCACACGCACTGCGCTTGGTCTGCGCGCACAAAAGCGCGCAACTGTATGTCAGTCGCAGCCACGGCTGCCTCTTTCTCTCTTGCTCCCGCCGCCCACACAGGAGGTATCTGTGCTCCTAGAACAATAGAGGGCTGTACCTCGCGGCTTGGCCGCTAGAGGAGGCACAAAGAACCAAGCCGGCTCCAGAACAATGTAACCAACGCGTCGACCGGTCCCCTCCCGCGGGCCGCCTGCCCTCCCCGCCGCCGCGCTACGCGCACAATCAGCGTCCGCTTAATGCAAAGGCGGAGCCTGTAGCCAGTGGCCAAGATGCTTTAACTAACCTGCATCTTAATTTTCAGCACCTCTCCTCACAAATGCCCAGCCTCTCTCCGAGTCCAGCCAAACCTCGGCAAATGCCAGCAAAAGCTGGGTGCCGGGCGAGCGTGGCCGGCGAGTTAGGCAGCTCTCCATTCTTAGTTTTTCCTCCCCCATCCTCCTAGAGGTGAATGTATTAGTCCCAACCTTCGTCCTTGCACCCTCCCCTCTCGGTAGGCAATGACACGGGAACTGGCCCGAGCCGGCTCTTTCGGTCAGAAACTCCCCGAGCCAGCGCCAAGGCCGGAGATGTCTGCAAAGCGCTGTTGTATCCTACCATCCGTTCCCCTGCGCGGTCAAGATTGTGACTCCTGCTAATAACTAAACAAGTTTCCCTGGTGTGATGGGTAGGAGAAGAACGGAGATTTCTTTTTTCCTTTCTGAAGAGCAAAGCGCCTCAACTGCCTCCATTCAGGGAAACCAGGCAGCCTGGAAAACTGAAATGTATTGTCTAAGCTAGAGTTCAAGTGCACAGGGCCAATCCTGAGTCTCTGTGAGTCCTGTAAAGAGAAAGCTCCTAGTAGACACAGCGCACCCCCTCCCTTGTCCCACAACTAGGGAAGGCAAAAAGAGGGGGTAAAATTGGCACATTCAGGGGAGGGTGAATGAAATGTGGTGGTGGAGCGTGGGTCAATGAAAGCTTGGAGTCAAGGAGGGAGGAAGAGAAGTATGAAAATGCGAAGGAAAAAAGGACAGAAAAGGAACAAGGGAGCAGAAGGAGGAAATGACAGAACAAGAAATAAAGTGGAGAGAAAATAGGAAGTGCGTAGCGGAGAGGAGGGAAGAATCGAAGCCAGGCGCGCTGACCTGGGGCCACAAACACCCGGAGAACTCTCCCCAACAGCCGGGGTCCAGGAGACCCTCTGTGCTTACCTGCCAGGCGTAAGGCGGACATGCGCTGGAACTCGGGCTCCTGCAGCCACTTCCACATCCTGCGAAAGGTCTCCCTGCCAGATTTGAGTTTACTCCACGGTTTTGGGTTCCGGAGCAGGTCGGAGAGAGTCCCCTGAGACCGGCACAGCACCCTCTGCGCGAAGATCGCCTGGGGGATGCTGTAGCGCTTCAGCTCCGCGGTGATGCGCTGGGCCACCTCTTTGGTGTTGATCTCCTCCAGCTGGCCCGATGTAGCCACCTGCGAGCCAGAGGAGGACGAGGGTGGCCGCTCGCGGCTGGGCGCCAGCACCGGCCCATGGGACTGAGCATGGCCCGGGTGGTGCAGGCCGTTGAGGTGGGACATCATGGCCGCGGGCGGGGTGCCCAGGCCGCGAGACAGGTGCTGCTCACCGCGGGTCAGCATGGCAGTATGGTGCGCGTCGAAGTTAGGGCTGAGCATTTTGTCGTGGCCCGGCGGCCCGTAGTTGGGCAGGCTCTGCTGCGCGTTGTGGAGGCCGCCCAGCCCGTTGCCCAGTGGCGTGGCGGCCAGCGGGGACAGGCTCTGGCTCATGCCAGGCATCTCCTTGTAGGGGCTGTAGAGGTTGTTCATGGCCGGGAGCCCGCGCTCGTCGCGCATGAGGGTGAAGCTGCCGCTGACGTTGCCCGACAGGCGCTGGTGGTGGTGGTGGTGGTGGTGGTGCGGGTGGTGGTGCGGGTGCGGGTGGTGGAACTTGTCCGACACTGTGGAGATGGGCGGCAGCGGCTGGAGCGGCGTCAGCGTGGTGTAGGTGTTGCTCATGCCCATGCCGGGCGGGGACGAGTCGCAAGACATGCTCATGGCGTGATGGAGCGGGATGGAGAGCTCGGGCCGGTAGTCGCCGCCGTCCAGGATCGAGGCCATGCTAGTGACCATGGCCGAGCGCGACGCCGCCGCCGCTGCCGCTGCCGCCGTGCCCAGCTCCTGGTGCGCCGTTGGCGGCGGCGGCGGGCCCCGCAGCGAGCCAGCAGCGCCGCGGCCCGCGTGGTGGGGGCTGGGGCTGGCCAGCAGCTCCTGCTCATGGCTCGGGCCCCCGCCGCCGCCCCCGCCGCCCCCGCCACCGCCCCCGCCGCTGCCGCCGCCGGCCGGCCCGTGCAAAGTGCCCAGACTTTCCATTGTCAGCTCCGGGTTCATGGCGCAGCCTTCTAGGTCTTTGGTGAGGCATCGATAGGCGGTGTAGGCAGCCTTCATTCAGTCCATCGGGGCCCGGGGGCGGCGGGGGCGGCGGGGGCGGCCGGCGGGCTGGCAAGGCGCGCGTGGCGGAGCTCGGTCGCGGGAGCGGGAGAGGGCGCGAGAGTGCGTGAGTGTGTGGAGGGGAGCGTGCGTGCGGGTGTGCGCCCCGGGCTGCGGGCGGGCAGGCGGGCGCGCCCGGGGTGGGGGTGGGGTGGGGGCGGACGGGGCGTGCGAGCGGGAGAGGGGAGGGGGCGGGGAGGGAGGGAGGGATCACCGGGCCCCACCGCTCGGGCCGGCGCGCTGCCTCGCCATGTCCGAGCCCGCTCCGGCGCCGACGTCTTCTGTTTGGGTGAGCGGGAGCTGTCCAGAAGGGCTCTGCCGCTCGCGGGGGCAGCCAACCTAGCCTCCCGGACCCGGGGCGGGGCAGCGCCCGATGGGCGCTGCAAACAGCCACTCCGAGTGCGCTACTGCCCCGGGGGGCGGGCCTCCTGAGTGAGGCTGCCAATGGCTGAGGAGGGGGCGGGGCCATGTGTTTCAGGTTTGGCTGACGGCTCTGTGCCTTTTTTCCTCCTTTGCCACTAGAATCAAACGTCAAGGAGAGGGAGGGAGGGGAAGAGGGTGCAGTGGGGAGAGAGAGGCGAGAGTGCGAGCGAGGGAGAGAAATTATGTTAAAGATGCCGCTCTGTGTCCCTCTTGAGCAGCTGCGATCTGTAGAAAAGGGCATTGCTTTAGTTCCCTTTGCCTCACCCCACAGCTTTTCTGGAGGCTACCAAGCCGGTCTGTGAAAATACAAACCCAAGTCTCCTAGCGAGCCACTTCCCAAGCGTCTCTATCTGAGAGCCAGTAGTTTACCTTTTTAAAATGCAGGCGCTTAGGTATTCTAATGCAGAGTAAATTCTGGAGACCGAGGCTTGCATAATCTACCGGGCGAAAGGAACCCCAGGACCCTCGCTGCCTTGGAGCTGCGGCCGGTGACGCGAGCCCACAGGCGGCTCGGGCCACCGTAATCCAAGCAAAGTTAACACAATAACATCATTTAATTACCCGGCGAGCCCATAAATCTCCCAGTTATGAGGCTTCAGAAGGGCCCTGTTAGATTGCAAAATAAAACTAGAACTCTAGGAGCTGCGGTTTCAGGGTGACCAAACGCTCCTCCTATTAGCGTCTTGTAAAGAAGTGGTTGTGGGTGGGGGGCGGCAAGACTGTTCCCAAGGCCTGTAGTGAGCAAACTTCTCCTGGGAGCAAGGAGTACGTAAACCTTCCGGGACGACACCCGCGGATTTTTCTTCTATCGTGTGTGCGCGCGCGCGCGCGTACACACACACACACACACACACACACACACACGCACTCGAATCCCGAGAAAGGAAAGCCCCAGGTTGGGGCTGTGGGTAGATGGCACGGACCCTCGGTCGACATCTGTATATCAAAAACTTGTTTCTGAAAAGACCAGAACCCTGGAGAGTTTTAGAAGGCTCTCGAGCCGCAGCTTTAAAAAGTGCACCCAGAATTTCCGTTGTTTGCTCACCCTGGGTCGGGGACTGGAAGTGGAGCGGCGGAGAAAGAAGATGGAGATTTCCGAGGCCTGGGTGGGGGTGGAGGGGTGGCTGAAGACAGGGAGCTACCGGGCATTGAAACCCTTAAAAGTAACAGATTCTTCCAAAGCAGGTTGCGCTCTGTTTGCCTCCGAAGATTCAAGCTAGCTGAGGTTGCGCAGATGTTGCCTTTGTTTAAAGAGACAGTAATTAAGGACAGGGTGGACATAAGTTTGAGAAGCGTGACCTATTTTCTTTTGATCAGCTGTCAAAAGAAGAGCGGGGGGTCTCCTTAAGACAGCCCCCTCCAACCACTTCCAGCTGTTAGAAAAAACTTGGTAAGAAAACAAGGACACACAGCCTGGAATACTGTATTTGCCTTCCTGGTGCTAGAGAAAGGTTTGATTCATTTGGAAAATAGTTCTTAGTTTTGGTGACCTTTTCCTGCTGCCCTCCTTTCCCTTCTAGCTACAGAGCAAAAAAAGAAAAAAGAAAAAGAAAAAAAATCCATCCGCTCCCACACCATTCTGTCACATGAATGTACAGTGACGTTAATGATAGATCAACTTCATTGAGCTCTGGCCAATACATTGCCAATTATTCACTTAAGTAGCTTCTTTGTGATATCAGAGCCTGAGTAAGAAAGTGGATGTTACTCTACTTTGCTAAACATACTTTTCTAGCTGCTAACATTTTTTAATGTCACAAAATTAGGTAAAATAACCGAATTTTCTGTTTCTCTGTCTTTCCTCTCCCCCTCAACCCTCTCTCTCTTTTCACTCCCCACCTTATATATGGCAGCTGGACCGTTGGGATAATTTGAAACAGTTAATGTTTGAAAAACTTACCGAGTTGAACAAAAGTTCACAAGAGCGCAACCTCCTGTTGGACTAGGAGTGCTCACAGACTGAAATAGGGCAAGAGAGCAGCAAGTCTGGGGAATGAGTCTGATATGCCCCAATGCTGAATACAGCCTTCTCTGCCTTGGCTTCAGGCTTAAAGAGTGGCCAGGGACCCCAGGCTGGGACATTGAGTAGGCACTGCCTTCATACAGAAGACTGAGTATATAGATGGCCATTAAAATAATTTTTCAAAATGATAAACTCGTTTACCAGGCTACCAAGATAAATCTGCTCCTGGGAATTGCATTTTGGTGTGCCTGGGAGCAGTCACATGCTGGAGAGTTGAAAGGTGAGTTGCATATTCTTGCTGCCTTCCTTCCTCCCTCTCTCCCTCCTCCCTTTCTCTCACCATCCCTCCCCCTTCCCTCGATCAATATTGGCGATCTCAGGGAAATCATGAAATCGTATTGGCTTCTTTGTGTATAATTTCATTGGGCTATATTAAAGCAGATTTTCCACGTTGTTTTTCTTAATGATGGTTTGAGGTTTTGTATGTCAACCTAAAACCCATTTAAAAGGGAAATTAATGTGCATTTTTAGTCGGCATCCTAATTTTTAGTAAATTAGTCTTGCATGCCTTTTCCCTTTCTAAAAAGGAAAAAATATTTTCTACTTGAAGATAATTTTAAGAATATCAGTATTAATAAGATTTTCAAATATGTTTCAAAATGTCTTTGATGTTCCTTTCTCTAAGAAAATAAAAGGAAAAGGTACTTTCTAACTGCCCCTTATTTACACACGTACTCTAACATTCAGAAGTTGTGTAACTCAGAATTTAAAAAACAATTGCAGCTACACTCTTGTTCCCCTTCCCCTCAGCATTTGATTCACAAATAGATGGTAGCAGGCATGCTATTTCACAACTGTTAGAGTCTGGACAAACAGTTACACCAGCCAATATATTGAGATCAGGAAATCCCTTTCTTAACATACCACGTCCGCAGATCTGATTTTCTTCAAAATCACTTAAGTGGTCAAAAGAAGTCTGTAAATAAAATACAGCTTTGACAACAAATGTAAGGTACTGCATTATAAAAGAAAAAAAAACAGTTGAGTTAGGAATTGTAGGAATAGACTGGAAATTTTTCTGCCAGAGCTTTTCATATGTGTTTTCATATTCAAAAAAATTTTTTAGGCTCTGAGAGGGAGAGAAAGGTGAGCATTCAATTAAAACAGAGACCCTATAAATTATTCACACACACACACAAATACATAGACCACAAGTAAACCCAGTCTGGATAAGGGGCCCAACAGCTTTGTTTCTAAACAACAGTAACCACAGCCCAAATCCCAAGAAGAGGGGGGCTGCTTATTTCTACTCAAATGTTCAAAATCCCGAGGAAGGTTTTGTGTTGGGAGAACACATTTGTGCTACAACTAGGTTTATCAAAGCAATACAAAAAGACATAATGGTGGGTTGATTTGGACTATTTTATTTTTGTCCTTCCCCAAACCATCTGGCGTGTGAGTGTAGGGGTATTGATCAGGATCTGTGAGCTGCAGACCCCATGCCAATCCATAGCGTTTCTGGCAATCAGTGTCGCCCATGAATTGCAGCTGTCTGTGTGGCTCCCGAAAAGAAATCTTCAGAAAAGTCCCCCCCTTATCAAACACTTCATCCGTTCAGGGGTAAGTCAATATCATTTCTTTGTCATTTTGTGGGCGAGGATTATGCAGGAGAAAGTTTTTGTTGTCAGTTGTAGCTGCTGCTGAGCCTTTTTTTTTTTTTTTTTAAAGGAAGGAGAGCAATTTTCTAGCCATTGAATGGTAATGGTTTTCCAGAAAGGCCTCAAGCGTTTATAGGAATCGTACAACAAATGCTGTTTCAATATTGTGGGGGAATTTTAAGGGGGGGGATTCTCATGTTGCTATACACAAATAATAATAGTGATAATAGAGGGTTCCTTTTAACGACGGAGAAATTTCTCCCCCTTTTTTTCGGAGCCTCTAGTGATGAAGACACCGCAAGTCTCTGTGATTACACTTGCAGATGGACGGTGGGTGCTTGTGGAGGAAAGGGAGCCTTCGGAATTGTGGCTCTGTTTGATATCTCCATTAGCTTCAATTTTATTCTGCCTGAAAGCTCAGGCTGGTTGAACACGAGAAGAAAACTAAAACCGAAGCCCGGCACCATTGACCCTCTTCTGCCTCTCAGCTCAGAAATTCTCTGACACTTCGCGGATTCCAGTCGAATCTAGGAAAGTTGTTGTTTAAGTGTTTTAGGTGGTGAGGTCCCATGGGTCCTTTTTCGTGAACTCGCTTCTCCTCCGCGTCAATCTGGTTAAAATCCGAAAAGCCAGTTTAGTTAGGAGCTGTCAGGGACTGCCCTTAACTTTTCGGGTGACACAGTGCGCCAGGACGGAGGATCATTTGGAGTGTGTGTGTTAGTGTTCTTCCCACCTTCCGCTGGTCTCTTAGGAAAAGAATAATGAAGCTGCGAGAGCTCTGTCAGCTGGGGGTGCCTTCTCTCACAGCCCCAAGCACCGCCTGGGTTCGCAGGTGGGGAGTAGGGCTGCGGGGCGAACCCAGCAAAAGCCACCCAAGCCTCAGTAGTGCGGGCGCGGGCAGTGGGCGGGCTTGAGGGCGGGGAGAAGGAGGAGACCCCGAGCCAGAAGAGCGGTCACACCTGCTC